TAGGCCTGAGAGCTTGGGATGAAGCTGTAAAGCAGAGTATTAGACCAGTCTTTGAAAAGCCCTGGCAATGAAGTTGCCCAAGTAGCTAAGGAAACACAGACATCTCTATTGCTTCTCACTTGGCCCATTTTGCTGGTAATTAAAACTGTAAAAATGAGGTTAGCATGAAGTTTCCTACCTTTTCCTTGGCTAGAGATAAGGCATACACAATGAGAATAGCTGAGGCCTCCAAGGCGGCTGATACTTGGACAATGCTTCATTTTGGATTAGATTTCTTTTCCTAAATCCCTTATATTAAAATCTCCTCTGCCTAAACACAGTTCTGCAAGGTCATTTATCAAGCTCTCTCTTGTTCTCTCTCCCCCGTTCCCCCTACACAGATGACATGTAATCTTTGCTCTCCTACTGTGCCAAGTTTTTTTTTTATTTTATGGGGAAAAAGTAAAAAAAAAATTTTCATAACAAAATAATAAGAGAGTATGAGTTAATACATGGAGTATTATCCTTAAATTTAAAAAAATTGTTTATTTGGTACAGGGTATTGTTACACAGCTCAGTCTCATAGGGATCCTCCTGTCTCAACCTCCACAGTGCTGGGACTACAGACATGCACCACCATGCCCTGTTTTGGTGGCCAGCACAGGCATGTGGTACCAGGGATCTCCCCACACTTGCCAAGCATGTGCTTAGACCTCTAAGCTGTCTCCCTGCGCAGTACTGTTATCTTTAAAGTAGTTGTTATGGTTTGTGTCTAGTTGTTCCCCCAAAGCCTCATGCAGTTATGGGGCAGATTTCTAGAGTTTGTGATTAACTCATGATCCAGTGCTGGGATTATGGATGTGAATACTGTTGGGATTATGAATGCAAATGCTACTTGGGATTATGGGTGTGAGTGCTACACCCAGCCTAGAGCAGATAGCCTAAATGCAACATAAGGGAGACAGACTTGGTCCCTGCTGCCATTTTTGCCACTACTCCCTTTTTGCTCTTGCTATTTTCCACCTCCATGAACTGCTGCCCTCTGCCATGTTCCACTCTGCCTTGGAGCCAGCTGACTGTGGACTGAAACCATGAGCTAAATAAGCTTCCCTTCCTTAATTTTAGGTGTTGGGTATTTTGTCCCAGCAACAAGAGAAGAGTAACGGGGACAGTAGTAAACATCACATTGTCTCCCTGGTGTGTGAAACGCGAAGAGTAACTAAGGTCTAAAATGTACAAGAGATATTGTAAAGTGTTTTCCCTCTGGCTTGAGGCAAAGTCCTATGTCACCTGAAGCTGGCTCCACTGCTGGCTCTGAGGCTCCTCCACAGGAACTGAAATGCCTTCAGCACTGTGTTCCATGGCTGTGCTTCCTTCCTAAGCACTTGAGCTGTTTACTCACTGATATCTCTAACTGCTGAGCTCAGCTGTGAGCCCCACTGGCCTGAACCACTCATGGAAGGCTCTGGGCTTGTGGCTCCACAATAACCTTGCACAATTGAACCAGGAAGCAGGGGGAGGCTGATTATAGTGAAGAAGGGGCCCCATTAAACATACCCTCTGTAATAAATAGGGAGAAGAAAGGAAAGACAAAACTGACAAGATTTTCTAACCTCTGCCTCGGACACACCAGTGTTCTCTTGTTTGCACAGGTAGGACAGGTTGTGGTTGGCCTGTTACAGAAGGATCACCTGAGCTCTGGGGCAACTAGAGCCTGTGTGTGCTAAGTCAGTAACACTATATTCCTACAGAGAAGGCTCTGCACATGCACAGAACAGGACCACCAATGGCCTTGTGAGACTAGTACTGTATCCACAAGAGAAGGGACACACCTGAGTCTCCACATGTCTTTAGGGGGCTCTGCTGAAATTTCAGAGAGCAACATATTCAGTGCTGCTAAAATACAAACATGTCATACCACCCTTTAGGAAAACTGACTTCTTTGCTCTAAATTGTTTTCTGTACTCTTAAATCTCATCCCCCACGCCCACCGCAAGATTGAGATATGAGTTCACAGTTCTTGATTGTGATTTTCTTTCCCTGTGCACACACATGCATATGCCTGAGAAAAGAAATACATATGAAATTGGTAAGGGAATGGTGGGAAATGGAAAGGAGGAGAAAGAATGTCCACTGGGGGAGACTTACTAGTGAACGTTGCTGACACCAAATGCTAAACTAAGCACACAAGTAAATTATTGTACTTAATCCTTATATCAACCCAATGAGTTATTTAAAAAGTAAAAACTGGGCCAAGGAGATAACTCAGTAGAATAAGTGCCTGCCTGGCAAGCGCAAGGTCCTGAGTTCAATCCCCAATACTGCACCAATAATAATAATAATAATAATAATAATAAAATGCAGAAACTGAGGTGACATCATAAAGAAGCCAACATAATGAGTTTTTAAAATACCTTGTTTTGTGCACAAAATCAATGTCTGGCACTTGTTGGCTGAGAATGGCAAGTTAATGAGTTCTTTGTATACTAACTGTCACATAAAAGGGGGAGGAGATCCAGCTTGAAAGGTCATGGTGAGGGCTCAGTGAAGTACATAAAATCATTTAGGGTACTGTGTTTCTCCCTAGTCCTAGGAATAAATGTTCAAAATTTATTTGCAGCTTACCAAAACATGATCTTTAAATTTTAAAATCATGTTTATTGGTACATTTTAGGTATTCATAATGATCACACTCATCATAGGGAATTTGTACCTGTACATAATTTATCTTCATTTTTTTTTGTTATCCTCTCTTCTCCTCAACTCCTTCACTGCTCATTTACAAAAGCTTTGTTTCCATTTTTCCTTCTTTTCTCATTTTTTCCTTTTCCCTTCCTTCCTTCTCCTTCTCTCCCTTGTTCCCCTTCCCATTTGAACACTTTTTTTTTTTCCTATCCATTATAGCTATTACACAGTTGGGTCTTTATTTACACTTTTGGTTTCTCACACCAGAGAAACAATGCAGTACTTGCATACGCATGTCCCATTTATTTTGCCTAAGAGTGTTGTCTCAAAGTGCATCCATTTAGTTAGAAATGGCTCATGCTTATCCTTCTTTATGGCTGATTAGTATTCCTGATCTTTAGATTCAAAAATAAAATAAAAAGCAACCCCTGAGTATCTGCTCATAATGAATTGGTAGGTTATACAACCACAGATATGGACCAGTCTAGAAAATCCTGGGGGGAAATTCATGATTTTCAAATATTAGAATGTACTTTGCTTCAGGAAGTTTTTGGTTTGCAAGATGGTTAATTTTTACTAGAAAGATGTTTCCAGTCCTCCTGGGCACAAGGGTGGCAGCTTGATTCTGCTGCCACTTCCCCACCTCTGACAGGGGTGAGGCAGAAAACAGGGCCCATGACTACAGCTGGCAGCTGCCTAGCAGCCATGGTGAGCTTGTGACGCCTCTCCAAGAGAAAGCCATGTGGCAGCTCCATCTCTAGTCCTTACAGCAGCAGATAGGTGGGAGGTATCCTAATTCCTTGCCTCCTGTAATCTAGGGAGGAGACAGGGAAGCCACCAGAAGAGGGCAAGACCAAGCTGAAGGAGTTGGACCAAGAAAAGGATGTGCTTTAGAACTTACCATGAAATCTTCATAGCTAACAAAGACTAAGGGCTGAAGAACAAAAACGTCCTCTGACAAACGTTCCAAGGGAGTGCTTCCTCAATGCAAATTTACACCCTTTCAAGTCTCCTTTTTACACCGGTACTTCATACCTCAATGCTGAGACAAATACCCTGATTCCTTTCAGAATATGGACCCCTCTGCTCCTATGAAATGAACTGGCAAAGGTCAACCCTGAGACTCTGGGATGTAGTCAAAGAAAAAGCAAAAGATTACACATCTCAACATCTCCCGTATCTGATGACAGCAGGTCAAGCCGTGAGCCATTAGGCAGGGCAGGCAGAAGAGTCAATCTGGGAGCTCTTTGGTCACTAACTCACTGCCCCCACGGATGGTCCACAAGGCATCTATGGGTCGTCCATTCTCCATCAAGAATGTCTTCCTTTAGTTCCTTCCGCCTCCCAAATTCCTCTTTAGAGGCTCAAAGTCACAATTTCTGAAATGGCCACCTAGGTAATATCTGCCACATACCACACGTGGCCAAATGCTACCAGGCTCTTGGCCTCCGTGTGCGTGGGTGGGTGTGTAACAGGGTTAGCCTAGACAGGGACCCACCTGCACTATGAGCACCAGGTTAGAAGGACGAGGTCTCATCTTCTCAAGGTACCAACTAGGGTAGCTTTGCCTGGGCAGCAGGCACCCTCGGAATTGATGAGAATGGGGACACGGGCGGAAAACGTAGTTAACAAATTCTGCCTTCGACTATGGGGAGCGCTTTCCTTGAGCCGAGTCTTGCCAGGAGGCCAACAAGCCTCACAGGTCCCATTCCTGGCCTCCCGTCCGGTCCCCAGCTTGGGAGAGGGCGCAGAAGCGGTGCTCCGCGCAGGTGACAGGGGCCTGGGCGGCTCCGCTCCGCCGCCTACAGCCGAGAAGCTGCCATTGCACCCGGGACGGTCGGGCCGCGCGGCGGGCGGCGACCCGTCTCGCAGGGGCCCGCGGGCGCGAGGCGCTGGCCGCGGGGGTGGTGTCTGGAGTCGGGCGCTTCCTGCCTTCTCCCGGCCGGGGCACGGCTCGCGCGGCCCAGCTCGGGGACTCCCAGGCGGCCCCGCCCCGCCGCCCGCGCCCTGCTGGTGCGCGCAGAGGCCCCGCCCCCGCCCCGCCCCCACCCCGTGCGCCCTTAGGGGCTCCGGGCTGGGGCGGGAGGGTGGTCAGCCGCGCTCCGGTCCCGAGCGCGGAGAGCTGACGGCGCCCCCTTCCTATTTCCGCCGGCCGGCAGCGCGGCGCGGCGAGCCCGGGCGAGAGGCGCTCGGTCCTCCCTCCGCCCGCGTCGGGGGCCGGCCCTGCTCG